TAGGGCTTATTTACAGATAAAAAGACAGCATTTACAGATAGACAACAAATTCTAGAATTGGTGTTTCAGAGAGATGCTAGGATTTGAAGTCAATGGGTCTTATTCTCAAGTAAAAGTGCATCAGTGGGCTTGTCTAGGGCATTCTTAGCTCACCCTTCATTATATGATCCCAGGTTGTAATCCAGGATATTAAAATGATAAAACACAAAGAATAAAAGCCAATCAACAAAAACTAGATTTTTTTTAAAAAAAAAATTATAGCCTATTCTTAAAATGAAACCTAAGCTCCCCATAGTATGGCAATTCTAGTAACCCTCAGAAGTCCAGGCTAACAGGTAAGACAACAAAAGTGCTATCTTATTCATGTTTTCTGGGTTTGATGGCACTTAATCTGGGTAATTGTGCATAGGATTGCAACCTGTTCCTCAGCTAGACTGCTAACTGGTAAAGACTTCTAATAATCAATACCTTTTAGCAGAATGAACAACCTGACAAATGCTTGTTGGCCAGTTGTGTTAACAAGCAGCCAAAAGTTGACATATCAAACTCAGGTCTTGTGAAGTCAGTCAGTCTGAGAAACAATGACTGATCTAGCAACATTTTGATGTGGCTAAGCTTGGGTTTGAACCCAGCTCCCTTGCGGAAGCCTGACACTCCTAACATCCCCCCATCATCTCACATCACTGGACATGCTGGCTGAAGTGGAAGCCCACAGGTTTCCTGTCACTGCTCTGACCACTATACCACACTGTCATTCAGTATGATGACCAATTCCCTGCATACCACTCATTTAATTGAAAGAATTTCTTGTGTGGGGGGGGGGGAGGGAATATATACATTCTTCAACCTTGTGCAATGTGCAGTACATCACTGACTGGTGATGACAGCTGCATTTCAGCACATACAAGGCAGGTCCTATGAACGTACCTTGGATCAGCTCTGGCCCACGGTAGGCAATGAATGAGAGCAACCTCTCAAGACACCCGGCAGTGCACATCCACCACCCTCAAATATAAAACCATTAAGACAAGGATGGATTCCCCCTCCTTATTTCACAGCCTAGCACCAGAACTGTTCCAGTAACTATAAATTAGAACAAAGTGGAATCATCAGCATGCTCTGTGCCATCTCTGAATGGCAAGATCATTGAGCTATCAAATAAATGTTCAAAGCTAATTATTTTTCTGATGAAGAAACATTAAATTACTACCTCCTGGGAATATTATTACAGTTTTGGCAGCCAGCGTGATTTAACTTGGCCAGATCTTCTCAATTGGCCGTACCTAAAATATTATTTGTTGCAATGCAAAAATTAAAACACCGTGGGTGGGGGGAGTTTAATGTGTATACAATTGATCACAGCCAGGTCTCACAAGGGCTGTGGCACCTGCTTCTACCTGCAACAGTGTCAGGGGCTGCTGTTCAGCCTGAATTCTATGTGGTAAAGAGACGCCAAGTGGTCTTGGGCTTTCCCAGAGCTTAGGTGCCTAGGCTGGCATGGATCTGCTGTGAGACTTCAATGAAACAGGGCAGTTTTGTAGATCACATAGTAGGGAGCAAAGCCCAAATGGCCTACCAATATCATACTATCAATATCATCAGTGGATACTGTTCCAAATAGTAAAGGACGATAAAATAATATAGAGCTAGGTAAGAAATACAGTTGACAGCATCCAGATATATGCAAACAAGATAATGGCCATGATCCTGTGCACAGGCACGGCATTGAAATCACTTAGGCTTAAGTCAGAATAACTGCACTGGATTACACCCAATGTTTTAAAAAAAGGTGCTAATTTTAAGCAACACAAGGAACTAATTTCTGTTTCATTTATGGGTCCTTTTCCCTTATAGCTATATGAGGAGGAAAGCGGGGTATGAATGTTTTCATAGGTTATTCATCTTGCCATTTGACTAAAAATAGAAGAAATTAAAACAAACTAACACAAATTGATTTAAGGAACAGGTAGAATCATAGGCGGTGCACTTTTAGCTTCTGTACTGATAAAAAAAATACAATTTCAAGGCTGCAATTTTAACCCTACTTAACTGGGAATTGCACTGCAACGTGGCCTGTTCCTTTAATCATGCAGCCAAAGACTTTGGTTGAATTATGAAATGCAGTTTAATTAATTCTGCCTGATTAATAAAGAAAAATGTCAGGATCTTCTGTGATCTGTTTCTTGCCAGTGCTAGCATCAGTTAAAGTAACACAAGAATTTATCCTGCCTAATGCTTGATCTTACATTACAGCTAAAAAAATAAATAAAAACCCTATAGTGACACTGCTCTTGATTGGATGTAGCTTGTCTAAGCAGTATAAGAAATTACTGTTGTCTTACGCTCTTTTACTTTGACATTTGACCAGTCAAAATCTATTACAGAAACAGCCTTTCCCAACCTGAAAGGTTGGAGTAGGATCTGTTTCTCTCATGCTCCTTTTAATGTAAAAAGCTTTCATTGCTGCATGGATGAAGCACTCCAACTCCCATCAGCCACAGCCAGCATGGTCAAAGGCCAGGGATGATGGGAGTTGCAGTCCATGGGCACCAATAATGATGATGATGATGATGATGATGTATTGCTTATAACATGCCCATCTGACTAGGTTGCCCCAACCATTCTGGGTGGCTTCCAACATAATATAAAAACACACCAAAACATCACACTGTAAAAACTTCTTGATGCAGGGCTGCTTTCAGATGTCCTCAGAAAGTTTTGTACTTGTTTATCATGCTTTGTTCCTGCTTGCCTAAAGTAGTGGAAGAGGCACACAGTGCTAGTCGTTCTTATGTCAACCTGTCAATCAGCATCTTTAAAAAATGTAAGCTCTAGGTAAACAGATTGCAGATTCATTCAACAGACTAATTAAAGTCACAGTTATCTACTATGCTGCTTCCCAAGAGCAAGGGTGATGGTTCCCCGTGGTGTGATATCACACCACATGGGCATAGCTCTTTGCTTTCTGATTGCCTCCACCATTGGGGAGAAAGCATTGGTATCACCCTTGCCCATGCTGTGATATTCAACTCGGGCTGCATATACACCATACATTTAAAGCACTCCTCCCAAAGAATCCTGGGAACTGTAGTTTATCCCCTCAAAGAACAACTATCCCCAGAACCTTTAACAAACAACAGTTTCTAGGATTCTTGGGAGGTGGAGAAAATGTGCTTTAAATGTATGGTGTGTACACCGCCATGATTCCCAAAATTGCATGTGTCCCACCCCATACAGAAGTGGGTGTCTTAGTTCTGCTGCTCCTGTTTGAGCAATCTCTGGGCAATGAGAAGTCGGGAAGCAGCTCAGTGCCTCCTTGTGTGGAAATCCCTTCACATGTTCATTTGAAGTTGTGATGAAATCTAGCTGGCCAGCCTTTCTTTGTCTCTCTGCCTTGAATTTTTCAAGGAAGTTGGATGTTCATTTGGTGGATTAAAGGGCGGTATGAATCTGAATCCATATTCCTGATATGTGCACTTACTGAGGTTTATGAAATTTCAGATCAGGCTCCAAACTCCCAGGCTAGGAGTTATCTCCATCGTGAGCGGAGCCAAATCCTGGAGGCAGAACTACAGACTTTGGTATTTGTTAGTTACTGCTGAGTCTAGATTTGGATACATGTTTGAATAGTGTGACTTGGACTGAGTTTTCTAGCTTGCTAATCAGCCAACAAATTTGCAACAATCCCTTTACAGGGATTTACAGATTTCTGGACTTAACCACTCCATGTTAAAATCTCACATTATCAGAGATGTAAAACTATTAATTATCTCAGTAGAATCTTAGTTAATAGACAGCTGCCTTCTTTATATGAACCTTAATCATTTGTGTGCTTTCAATTACTGTATGTGTTATCACAGACCATTGCCCTTATCCGATGATCCCTAGAATCAAACCAAATAATCCCTAGATGGGATTCCAAGAACGGATGCCGAAACAAAAAGTGATAAGTCTATCAAATATTGCTTCCCACCCAACCCTTACTTTGAATATAAGAATTTAATGTTACCCCACAACTGAACTACGTATTAAGGTACTATAGCTCGAAATTGAAAAGGGGCACAGGGAGGGAAGTAATGTGCATTAGTGGATGTTTTTACTCTGACTCTGCTACTTAATATGGTGATGTACTTTCATTACTGTATTTCATTCTTCTTGTTAAACACTTTGGGACTTCTTGTTGTGGGAAGCGATTCATATATAGAAAAAGCCTAAATCTAAAATTAAAAATCTGGCCCAGCTCCAATTGTAATCTGGTGTTCGTTGTATAGCAGGAAGGCTAAGCAGAGGAGGTTGCATTGTTCATTTTGCTGGAGAATCAGAATGGGCTGTGCCCATTCTAATCTTTTGCACACACAAAAAGCAAATTCCCCAGTGCTAGGTCAGCTGTACAAGATGATGTGCACCGTGTGCTCACTTAGCCCTCACAGTTGGCAGCTCCATTGTTCCTGAGGAACAGAGCTGTCAAAGGAAGTCATGGTTTTAGAGAGACAGATGGTCTCTGTGGTAGACTGAAAACATGAACAGCTTTGAAAATTAGGATAAAAAAATCAATTTGTCTGAGTACTCATCAGGGAGACAAGTAAAGTTAGGGGGAAATGCAGAGGTGATGAGCTTTCAGTAACCTGTGCCATGAAAATGGGCAGGCTCCTGCATACTAATTACCAAGTTTGTGCCGGGTCATTGTTTTCATTACTGTATGACATTATTAATCCTTGAATGCTACTAATCCGTGATTCACCCTGATCAAGTCCAAATGGAATAACAATGGACTTTGTTGTCTGGTTGGTCCTAGTGGGTTGCAGGCAAGTTTTCAGTACCGTTTTCTTAGCCAGAGTGCTGTTTATTGGACTGAATCTAACAAAGTTAGTTGAACTTAGACCTCACTGAAGTCGAAGGGAACATAGGAAGCGACCTTATGCTGAGTCAGACTCATTGGTTCATCTAGTTCAGTATTGTCCAACACTGCCAGAATTTCAGGCAGTGAGTCTTCCCCTGCCCAAAGATGCTGGGGGTTTAACCTAGGACCTTCTGTACTCAAAGCAGATGCTTTGCTACTGAGCTACAGCCCCTTCTTATGGGCTAACAGAGTTACTTATGACTGTGCTTAAGTCCCATTTATTTCTGTGGGAACTAATTTATTCTGGTTGCTGTTTGTGGAATGGAAAAATTACCAGTATGGCTACAGATTTATAAGAGGTTTTACTAATACTTTCTTAACAGGGTGAGAGTGTATTTGGTTGGATCCAACAAAGTTAGCTGAACTGGATCCCATTTAAATCAATGAGACAAGTTACTTTTGGCTTAAGCCCCTGTTAAATTCATTGGGGAACTAAGGGCAACTTACTTACTTTATTTTTTTGCGGAATGGGAAACAGGTTGAAATGGCCACAGATTTATGACTGTGTACTCAGCCTTGACCATCAACACCTGTTGGTTTTTTGTTTGCTTGACTGTTTTCACACAGCCTCAAGATCCCTTTGCACACCTAAGAATAAGCTTTATCAAACACAATAGGAGATACTTCAGAGTACACATTACTGTCACTGTTAATTTTATTTCATTTTTGTTTTTTTACCTAGAAGAAAATCAAGGGTGATCAAATCTAATTTTCCTTCCTCCCCTTAACTACTGTAAAGATTGCAAATCGCTTCTGAACTAATCTTGTGCTAAATTAAACTTTCTCTGATACAAAGGAAAATAGGTGAGATAAGTGCACAAGCCCAAGACATGTTGTGGATCATTTGCAATCACATATATACCACAGTGAATGTCAGACTTACCCAATCTGAGGCCCTCCAGGTGTTTTGAATTACAACTCCCAGCAGCAGCAGCCAGTATGGCTAATGACCAGGGGTGATTGGATTTGTAGTCCTATAGCACCTGGAGGCATCAGATTGAAGAAGATTGTTTTCTGTTCTCATCCAAAGGCTGGTTCTCCTGTCCAGGAATGGTGAGTTGGAGAGGGCATTTGGTGTCATCAGTAAATGGACAGCACTCTTTTTGCCATCTGAATCAGGAGAGGGCATTCAGTGCTGGTCCAGTGTCTGGAGGAAATAATGGGCTGGATGACAGCCAATAAAAGATGATTGTTTCCTGTGGTATGCTGTTTGTAGGTCTAGGAGCTGGGTAGATGACCTGTTCTGGGAGGAGTTGCGCTACCCCTGAAACAATGTGCAGAAAGGAAATGCCCATAAAAATCTGTGATTTAAAAAAAATAAAATACTGCTACCTTCCCCGGTGCTTCTAATATTGGATTGCTTTAGCATACTCAGGAATCAAAAGTTTTGTGTCTCTCTTGTAGGAAATGTATACTTTTTTGTGCGCTCTGCAATTTGTAGCTTCAGGGTGCTGTTAAAAGCATCAACACCCAGTGGCAATGAGTGCTCAGATCTGACTGGTTTGCCAGCTGCAGTGCTTCTTGGACTGGGGCAGTCTAGCGACACATACTGGTGCTCTCTCATTTAGACAATTGCAATGCATGGTACACAGAGTTTCCCTTGAAAATTATCCTAAAGCTGGAGTTAGATGACTCCACTTTGCAGCACCAAAGTGGAGTGGTGCATTTATCACCAGTCCTTTAAAGAACTGTAATTGCTACCTGACCCTTAGGTAAAGGTAAAGGGACCCCTGACCATTAGGTCCAGTTGTGACCGACTCTGGGGTTGCGGTGCTCATCTTGCTTTATTGGCCGAGGGAGCCAGCGTACAGCTTCTGGGTCATGTGGCCAGCATGACTAAGTTGCTTCTGGCGAACCAGAGCAGTGCACGGAAATGCTGTTTACCTTCTCGCCGGAGCGGTACCTATTTATCTACTTGCACTTTGACGTGCTTTCAAACTGCTAGGTTGGCAGGAGCAGGGACCAAGCAACGGGAGCTCACCCCTTCTGATCGGCAAGTCCTAGGCTCTGTGGTTTAACCCACAGCGCCACCCGTGCCCCCCATCTGACCCTTACAAGGTGCTAATTTGGGCTTGGGGCCTAAGTATTTGCAGGAGCCAATCCGTGCCATAAGAAGACCCTGCTTGTAGCCCATCAAGAGTTCAACTGTGTGACAACCTGGAGTGCAGCTTTTTCTGATTGTAGACTTTATAAGCCCCATGATTCCTGGTGGCAATTAATAGCCAGAGCCAGGAAGCCCAGGAGAATATGGAGACTGTTTGGCTGTGTGGAGCTTATATGTAGCCCAAAGAGAGAGATACTTCAGAGCCCCCACAAGTAAAATGTGAGTCCAAATTCAAGTATGGGTGAGCTCAGAGGGACTGTGTCCACTTCAAAGTAGACCCTTCCAGTAATGCAATAATGCAAGCATGGGTGTTTACATTTTTCAGCAGCCCTGCTTCAAATAATTGCCTCATCCCTGTGCCTAGTAATTGCAGACTCGAACATTTTCCTGAACTGGCCAATGGCATCCATACATCAAGTCTGGTGAGGAGATGCAGGGACTTTTAATGTATGTGCAGCCACAGTCTCCTTCCGCATGGAAAGCTTACACGCTAGACTTATGGAGCCAGTGTTTGTTTATGTTGTCTCTCTACCTGTACTGAGTGAACGGAACAAAATGCAGTGTCATCAAAATATGCCATCTACAGCACATTTGACGACTGACTGAGAAGAAAATCAATCCATGAACTTTAGTCGCCTTTCTGTACTGCTGACACATGACACTCGTTCTTTGCCAAGAGAACGACTGATCCCATTCCTGAAACTAACCTTTTATCTGCTTTAAACTTGCAAAATGCCAATCACCACTTCTCCCACTGCTGCAAGAACAATCCCCCCGTGAGTTTTCAGACAGTGGGGAAACTTCAACCAGTAAGGCAAGTAGCAGATAATATTGCATTTCTTCTGAGTTTTCATGCTACAGTGCTACAGTGCAGAACTAGTAGATAGCATTTAAGCAGTGAGGTGTGGTGTGGCAGGATAAAAGGACCCCTATGAGTCGTCAAAGGCGACTCTGGGGTTGTGGTGTTCATCTCGCTTTCAGGCCGAGGGAGCCAGCGTTTGGCCACAGACAGCTTTCCGAGTCATGTGGCCAGCATGACTAAACCACTTCTGGTGCAACGGAACACCATGACAGAAACCAGAGCGGAAATGCCATTTACCTTCCTGCCGCAGTGGTACTTAATTTATTTACTTGTAGTGGTGTGCTTTTGAACTGTTTGGATGCACCAGCTATGCTACCACCCTGCCACACCCAGGTGAGCTGCAGCAACACTGGTGTCAGAATGGCAGCTCCACCAGACCAGTCAGGACAGGGTGCCCTCTAGACGTTGGTGGATTGTAACTCCCACTAGCACAGCCATACTGGCTAGAGCTGCTTGGAAGCTGGAGTCCAAAAACATATGGAGGTTGTTGAAGGCTGCCCTAATGCATTTGCAGAAATGATTCTTTGGATCCCAGATGGCTATTATTATTATTATTATTGAATTAAATGAGGACAAGATCTTGGCATTTTGTAGGTGATAAATTTGTAGCCATGTACAGAATTCAGAACCAAGGAAAATGCAAACAATTGTCATTTTTACTTCTGTTTTCTGCCCACTGTGTGTGCGTTGTCATTTTAATCTTTCTCCCCGCACCCTTACTGAGCAGTTCATTTCCTCCACCCCACCCCCCAGGGAATATAGACAAAAAATTAATTTCCTATTCCTCATGCAAATGCATTCACAATGCAAATACATTGAAGAAGTTGAAAAAAGCAACTAATACAATAAGGAAGACTTTTTTATTGTGTATGCATAGTCAGTATGAGTATATTAGCTGTCAGGTTAACTTGACTGCTGTAGATTTGGTGTCTTCATGATAAAGTTGGTCAGAATTAAAATAACAGTTTCATGAAGAGAATAAAAGACGGAGCTATTATACAAATTGTTGCAGCTCAAATACAAATTGAATTTAGCACATTTTACCTTAAGTATGGACACAAATTATGGCAGTCATTATTCAACTGGCGTAGGATCTAAAACAGGAATATTGAGGGAAGAGGGGTAATAGTTAAATTATACAAGTTGTCATAAATAGATTATTAGACATTGTCCCTTCTTTTTATGAGAACTTAGATAAAATTCTTTTAAGAAGTTCAGTAAGATGTTTTTCAGCAATAGCAGTATGAGCAATGTTCTAAAGGGAGAACCTTGAACAGTTGTAATGATCTATAGCAACACATCTTAACAAATTACCACTTTGTTCTAAATGCTAAGCTTTTAATTACCCTGAGCTAAAAAGGTATCTGTTTAATAGAAGTGATTCAAGAAAAGGCAAATCATTTTCATTAGCAATAATCTGGATGTCCCCAATTAGCAATGACATTATTTTTCCTCCTAATGAACAGTTTTAAAAACATTTTTATTGTGATGCCCCAATTTTCCTTAGTTTGTAAGATGACAAACTATACTGAAAATCATGACTGAGACTTTGATTCCTTTCTACTTTATGACAGCTAATGAACCAAGTGTTTGATTCATATTTTGGAGACATATAGCTGAATCCAGATATAATTAAGTGAGCTGGGAATAAATGGATTATTACCACAGCTTTTTTATAGCTGGAGATCGCCAGAGCTCAGTTCTGGCACCTTTCAGGTGGGTGCCATTGCCATTATAAGGGACATAGGTGGCGCTGTGATCTAAACCACTGAGCCTCTTGGTCTTGATGATTAGAAGGTAGGCAGTTTGAATCCGTGTGATGGTGTGAGCACCTGCTGCTCTGTCCCAGCTTCTGCTAACCTAGCAGTTCAAAAGCACACCAGTGCAAGTAGATAAATAGGTACCACTGCGGCAGGAAGGTAAACTGTATTTCTGTGTGCTCTGATTTCCGTCACGGTGTTCCGTTGCACCAGAAACAGTTTAATCATTCTGGCCACATGATCCAGAAAGCTGTCTGTGGACAAACGCCGGCTCCCTCGGCCTGAAAGCAAGATGAGTGCGGCATCCCATAGTCACCTGTGGGGTCCGTCCAGGGGTCCTTTACCTTTTACCTTTATAGGAGAACAAGGGAGGTGTTGATGGTGAGTTGCAGCACCTCTTTTTCTAGAAAAATAGCACTGAGTATAAGCCATATTGTTGATATCTT